GGTCGTAGGCTCAAACCACGTTGGCGGAAAATCATTTTTCTTTTTCGAAGTTTATTTTTTTACAATTTCTGGCCATTCAAAGCTCCTTTTTTGTATTTGTTTTTGCATTTGAGAACTGCAGTTTCGCTTTTGTGCCAATAATTGTTATTTTTTAAATTTGAGTTCTCTCTTTTTGCCATTTTAGATCTATTTTTGCTGCTCATTTTGGCGAAATGATGACACTTGCGAAGCTAGTATATTAGTACGAACCTTCTTTTTCCAGCCTAAGTCGCAAATATTGATGGGGCACCGCTACAGCTTTTTGATAGCATGTATTTTGACATTCGAATGGTAATAAATTAACTCAGTTGATGCATTTTTAATTCATCAAATCAACCGAAAAAAGCTATTTGTTTCAAACAACATCACAAAAATAAAAACTCGAGATCGGAAATTTTCTAACTCAATATATCTCGCAATTTTTTGAAATGAATAATTTATACATAATGTGGTTTTATGCTTTCCGATTTGTTAGATGCAAAGTTAGTGTGTATGCCTTCAGTTTGTTATATTCCAAATATTAATTGCAAAACAGTCGATTTGTATTTGGTGCTGAATCGCATTGGCAATTTGCTAGCATATGTAGCTGCTATATTCGTGACTAGTGTTTGTCGGTTGTTAAGCTTGAGTGGCTGAGAGGATAGTGCGTGAGACCCAAATCCTCGTGATTGCAGTAGGTCGCAGATTCCAAAACTACACGTAGCCAAGTTTTTGCTACTTGAGGCTTATTTCTATTTTTTCTTATTTAACTTGATAGAGCTGCTTTTTGGTCGTGTTCTCGCAAGTGTTTGCGAAGCGCAGCTTCGCCTCTGTGTTTATTTCAGTATTTGGTATCCATGTTCATCTATTATATATTTAAACGTGGTCTTCTTTATCTCACCATGTTTGAGCTTTTTCAACGTATTATTTTTGCATGTTTAAGCTATACCGTATATTGCTATGGTTAAGAATTTTTTTCCGATTTTCCAATTTGATTTTAGTGATTATTTTGCCAAGTTTAAATTAAGCAGCCCAAAATCGAATTAGAAGTTGCGAATTTGGCCTCCAATTTTGAATGCCCAAATCATTTTAGTTAAAGAGATAAGACGATTTTTGAGATTTTTTAAAAAATTTTCAGAAATTTTGAATAAAAAAATAATTTACAAAACTTCAAGTTCCCAAAATTGTAGTTGGGTACTGTCAGAAAACTATCAAGGATTACAAATCTTGCCTCCAAATATGACTGTTCAAATCCTTGTAGTTTTCGAGATATGACGTTTTTTGTGATTTTTTCAAAAAGTTTTCAGAAAACTTATATTTGTTTTTTTTCCCGCAAAATCTGAAATTCCCAACCCTGTAGTGTGGTCCTATCAGAGTACTCTCAAAGACTGCGAATATTGCCTCCAAATATGACTGCTCAAATCCTTGTAGTTTTTGAGATTTTTTCAAAAATGTTCAGAAAATTTTAATTAATTGTTTCTCAAAATTTGAAATTCCCAGCCTTGTAGTTGGGTGCTGTCAGAGTACTCTAAGGAGTTAAAAATCTTGCCTCCAAATATGACTGTTCAAATCTTTGTAGTTTTCGAGATATGATGCGAAACTTATATTAATTTTTTTTTCACAAAATCTGAAATTCCCAACCCTGTAGTTGGGTCTTGTCAGAGTACTCTCAAAGATTGCGAATCTTGCCTCCAAAGATGACTGCTCATATCCTTGTAGTTTTCGAGATATGATGATTTTTGTGATTTTCGAAAAGTTTTCAGAAAAACTTTTTGAAAATCACTTAGTGGGCCTCTGGCCCACTAAGTTTTCGAGATGACGCTTTTAAAATGGGAATTAAAAAAATTAAAAGTTCGAAATTACCAACCCTGTAATTGGGTGCAGTCAGAGTGCACTTGAAGTTTGCAGATGTTGTTTCCAATATTGGGGTTTTTCATGAGTTCTTGAAAAATTTCGAAGCACCGAAGGTGCGTTAAACGCTAGTAACTTTTAAACTTATTGCTGCTCAACAAGGCGCTGTTATACTTGACACGTTGGCAGATACGATGTAGTGAACTCAGGTGTATCCTATGTTTCATAAGTTTAACCATGATTTTGTTACCGTAACGGTCGCCACGATGTCAGTGCGGTCAGTATTTTTCACCAAATCCTTAAAATTAGAAGCAGATTTAAACTGTAATTTTTTTCAGGCTATGAGTAGATCTTTCGGGCTATGAGCCTCAATTTCGGGAGAGCTCGGAAAATCAAATTGTTAAACCTAAAAGATAGGTCGGTAAAGTTTTCTAAACTTAAACTTATTTTTTATTCTTCTAAAAGTTCTGGCAAAAAAAAAGAAAAAAGCTTTTTTTTTGGAAAATATCAGTGCCATGCATTCATTTTTATCAATGCCATTATCAGTGCCGCCAGTGCCAGCGATTTTTTTTGTTATTGTGGCTCCCTGACCTTATAATAGGTCTGGCAACTATTCCTCTAATATTGGTTGGTTCCTTTACTCTGACGCTCTTGGTAAAAAAAACTAAAGAAGTTTGGCTGAGGCTTTTTATGTTTTAGTTTTTTTTGCACTCAATTTTTGTCCTCAAAACTTTTTACCCTTGACTTAATTCTTTTTGCTAGAAGAAGTTGTATAAAAAATTTGCCTTGAAGGCATTTGATTTGATGTTTTTCAGATGAAGCGCGGTTGATATAGTTTTATGCGCTTATTGGCAGCGCACAGTCACAGCTAAGCTTAAGGCTTACTACTTTTTTGGTGTTTACAACTTCTTTATAGTTCTTTTTCTTTTTTGGGTGATTAGATTTAAAATGATACGGACATATATGAGTCAGTAAAAATCACATGCTTAATTAGGTGTTACTGATCGAAATGATCATCCAATTATTTAGGTCTTGATTGTTCGTTTTTTTTTAGGAAAAAGTCCTTAAAGTTGTTCATGCTCAAATTTGAGTTTTCGGGATTCGAATCCGTTTTTCGACACTTTTCAAATCAGAAAATAATTTCCAACAGTCTGGTGGCTATTTTTTAGCCATTCAGTGAAAACCATTTGCAAAGCAACCGTCGAAAAATGGTCAATTCCATTTTTGTCTTTCTGTATTTTTTATCCTTATTTATCATTCGTAACCATGTTTGAGCTCATTATTGACAATTTTAATTTTTCAAAATCCAGTACTTCTTTCGATCCGGGTGTTAACCGTCAGAGCGATTCTTTTTCTCGACAAAAACATTTTTACAATATTTATTACAGTCGCTACTACAGTGCTGATTTAAATTATCCGGACAAAACGAACATAACTTGAATTTTCAAACGCGTTTTTCTCAAATTGGGTTAATATTAGACAAAAAGTGAAGAGAACAAAAGTTGCTTAGAATTTCACCAGAATTAATATGGTGCCATTTTTTTTCAAAATTCTCAGCAAAAAAATTTACCCCAAAAATTGGTCATTTTGGCTTTTTTCAATTAATCAAGAATTACGCGGAAACTACTTTGTTAATTGATAAGAAAATTATATCACAGGAAGCCTCTTACGCAGTTCAATAAAGTTTAAGAAGGGTTAAATCTCCAAAAATTTGCGCAAATTGTTTAAAGTTTATTTTTAAACAGAGTTTCTGGGTTTTATATAGTAAAAATCACATTTATTGACTATCAAGTGAAAATTTTTTCTCTTATACTAGTTTTTGGAGATTTTATCCTTCTTAAACTTTGTTGAACTGCGTAAGAGGCTTCCTGTGATATAATTTTTTTATCAATTAACAAAGTAGTTTCCGCGTAATTCTTGATTAATTGAAAAAAGCCAAAATGACCAATTTTTGGGGTAAATTTTTTTGTTGAGAATTTTGAAAAAAATGGCACCATATTAATTCTGGTGAAATTCTAAGCAACTTTTGTTCTCTTCACTTTTTGTCTAATGTTAACCCAATTTGAGAAAAACGCGTTTGAAAATTCAAGTTTTGTTCGTTTTGTCCGGATAATTTAAATCAGCACTGTACAGTGCTGATTTAAATTAACCGGACAAAACGTGTTAAACTTGAAATTTAAAACGCGTTTTTCTCAAATTGGGTTGAGTTTAGGAGAAAAATTATGAAGACAAAACTTGCTTAAAGTTTTAGCAGAATTATTATGGTGTAATTTGTTTTGCGAAATTCGGGCCCAAAATTTTACCCCAAAAATGTGTCATTTTGGTTTTTCTTAGTTAATTAAAAATTACGCCAAAAGTACCCATTCGATCACAGTCATAATTATATCAAAGTGAGCCCCTTACGTAGCCCAATAAACTTTAAGAAAGGTATATTCTCCAAAACATTGTATAATTTAATTTATTTTTGCTTGATAGACAAAAAAGGTCGTTTTTACTATATAAAATACCAATTTTTTATTTAAAAACAATTTTTAAACGGTTTGGGCTACGTAAGGGGCTCACTTTGATATAATTATGGCTGTGATCGACTGGGTATTTTCGGCGTAATTTTTGATAAACTAAGGAAAGCCAAAATGACACATTTTTGGGGTAAAATTTTGGGCCCGAATTTCGCAAAACAAATTACACCATAATAATTCTGCTAAAATTTTAAGCAAGTTTTGTCTTCATAAGTTTTCTCCTAAACTCAACCCAATTTGAGAAAAACGGGTTTCAAGTTTAACGAGTTTTGTCCGGTTAATTTAAATCAGCACTGTAGTCTGTGGTGACAGTAATGTGGTCAACTCTATCTGTACTTTCCTAAATGAAAAAGGCAATTTTTGAGCATGTCTTGAAGTAGTCTGTACCGAGCAAAAGTTATGCTTTTATGTTTGAATGACCGGAAAAGATTAGTATTGGCATGAAATCGCGAGCAAGTGTAAAATTTTGACAAGGTTAGATTTTCCGATTTTTGAAGGCAATGAACTTCTATTTGTGCTCGTTGTTTTCTTCTGATTGCAGACTTGATGTGTTGTTTCGGTTATACTGTTATGTTTGTTTTGACAGTCAGTTAGGTTTTATTTCGTTGGTAGGATTACTGGAACGATGTGTTTACGACGATGATATCAAAATACAGAGCAGGACTCACTCCTAATCCAGACATCCTCTGTAACAAGTTCATCAAGTTCGGATCACTACGGAACTATATAGACCTTTTCTTCGGATGCGATCATTTCATTGCAACTGGACACTACGCTGATGTAAACTTAAATGGATCCCAATCTGCTGCCACATTAGCTATACCATTAGACAAAGTCAAGGACCAGACGTTTTTCCTGAGTCAAGTCAGTCAGAACGCTTTGCAGAAAACTTTATTTCCACTTGCGAATATAGTGAAAAAAGACGTGAAGAAAATAGCGCGTGAAAGCACTTTGGGTTTCGTGAATGAGAAAAAAGAAAGTATGGGGTTGTGTTTTGTCGGCGAGAGAAAATTCAACGAGTTTTTGAAGGACTATATTCCCATCAGAAAAGGTCAAGTGGTTGATTTTGAGACAGGTCAATTCATGGGCGAACATGAAGGCGTTCAGTTCTACACATCCGGACAATCGTTGCTTTTGCAATATGTTCAGAAATGCAGAACAGAGTTTTTCGTCTACAATCGAGACTCTATTGAAAATATTTTGTATGTTGTCAAAGGGCGAATGAACCCGCTTTTGTGGAGATCTGAATGTAAACTACGGAATTTTCATTGGATTTCTGGAAAATTACCAGACGAGTTACGCAAGAAAGTCGTAATGACCTGTCAATGCAGAATGCAACATGGTTGGCCACTAATTAACTGTGACATTTCTATTGAGCATGGTTTGAACCCATTTGACCTTGAAGATACTGAGGAATTCACAATTAAAGTCAAAGTTCACGGGCGTTGTTGGGCAGTGACCCCGGGTCAATTTTGCGTTCTATATGAAGATGAAGTTTGTTTGGGAAGTGGAGAAATTTTACCTTTTGAAAACGATGAGCATGAATTGTGATCTCTTGTTGACTTGCTGGTGCTGTCTTGTTGTTCTGCGCTCAGTCAAGCAGTCTTCGAAGTTTATGATGATTCGTTCTCAATTTTGGTGTGCGAATTGACAGTGTTGTCGTTAGCAAGAACAAAAAAAAAGAAAACACAGCTCGCGACGGATGTCTGTAAACTAGCCGCTGCATATTTCATGGATTATAAAATTTGTTGGTGCTTAGCGATTTATAGATATAATTGGATATAATTGATCTGAGTTTCAATTTACATATCAGTTTCATTTACATCAGAATCAAAAGAGCAGTTGATTATGGCGCACTACTGAATAAACTGATTTCTGGGGTTTTTTATAGACTTCGCCATGGCTGGTGGGAAAAAGAAATCAAATATGCGCAAAGTAGTCGCCGCCAAAACTTCACTGATGAAGAAAATGATCAGCGAAAAAGACCCGAGGCTGAAGTCGAACGTGGAGGCATCTGAAAAAGCGAAAGCGGAAGCTGCGAAGAAAGAAGAAGCGAAGCGAGTGCCTCATTACTCCTCGTCTTTGTTCTACACATACAACATGAACCTCGGACCTCCTTTTCGAATCCTACTGGATACAAATTTTATCAACTTTTCCATCAAGAACAAAATGGACATAATAGATTGTGCAGTTAAATGTTTGTATGCCAAATGCATTCCTTGTATATCGGAGTGCGTGGTGGGCGAGTTGGAGAAACTGGGGAAGAAGTACAAAGTGGCATTAAAGATTATCAGAGATCCGAGATATCAAATATTGCCGTGCTTACACAAGGTTCTTTTTTCAACATTTTGAGAGTGGCATTCATTTGTTCATTTCCAATTGATGTTTTGGCGATTCGCAGAGGATCTACGCAAGGCGATCAGACCTGTCTAAGTGTATTTGGTTTCTCTTATTTCCCTACATTGCAAACTATTTTTTTTTTGCTGAGCCAAGCAAATATTTTTTCGAAGCAGGCTGTGGTAGCCCTGAAGCTAGAGGTCAAGTGAGAGCTAGTCTTCACATATAATTGTTGCCATGGCAGGGATCGAATTGATAATCAGAAGACCCAATAGTGAACGCCTTACCACTATGCTAAGTGGCTCTTAACCTGGAGGGGTTAAAATATTAACTGTTGTTAATGAAACAAGTGAAAATTTCAATTAAAGGTTAATAAAACGAAAAAAGTATATTGTGATTTTTTCATTTTATTCCTGCAAACACTATGTGGAAATTAGTTTTTTTTGCGGAAGGTACTGCATCAAAAAGAGAAAATTCCTTGCTTCAATTGAATTTGGAATGATTTAATTCACCGCTTATGATTTAATGGGTAAGAAAGAAAGAAAGAATTAATTTCTCTGGTCTAATCTTAACACATTTCATACAAATACAACTCATTAACAAGTAAACTTTGAACCAGAGGGGACACCAGAAGGACCATTCGGTCGCCGGATAGTGCCAAAGAACTTCTGAACATCAATGGGAAATAAGTGAAGATTAATCGTATCAAATTTTATGACCTCATACAATTTCGCGCGTTAAATTTTAACTTTATAGCACATGATAGGCAAATTATCATAGTTCGTACAAAATCAGTGCAACTGCTGCGACAGACGCAAAAATGCATGGCCGTTAAGTTGTTGAGGGATGACCGTAAAATTTCAAAAATTGTTGGCAAAACAAGATTGGTAAAATAGAACATAAATATTACATAGAATAAAATTGTAGACAGTAGAATGACATAGGATAGTGTGATGCGGTGTATAGATTCGAATAGACTGATTTATATTGCTGCTAAAATACAAATTGATGATATTTTTTAGGTTGAGCTAATTTTAAAAAAGCCTCAATCATAAAAATTTTATAGCAGCAAGCATAAATTCAGTATTGATATGATGTAGTTTTTAGGGCCGGATCTAGGAGGTTTTCGATAGGTTGGGGCGAATTTTCAAAAATTCATTGGACATTTTGTCGACATTTTTTAATTTTCAGGTCCACCAAATAATTGATTTTCGATAAACTGGCAAAAAAGGCGTTTTTAGTCTCTTTTTGGAAAGTTTGTACCATAAAATCAAGTTTTGTCGGCGCGCGTTACCATTTCAATTATAGAATATTATAGCCGATGGCGACTTAAGAAAAATTTTAGTGTCCGTCAGCCACAAATTGATGTCCTAAAAAAGAAGCAAAGGGGGACGCTTTGGGTGACCTTGGCGTCAAATTCCCAAGGAAGGGGGAAGGAGGCGATAGCTTCCTACCCATAAATCTGATACTGGTTGCTTCCTTTCATACAAACACTGTATTGTTAAGTTACGAGGTTTTTTTGTCGCAATTATTTGTCATCAATTCTTGCCGAGCATTTTGTTCCCCAGCTTCATCTGTGTAATATAAGAAGAATAATAATCTCTGAAGATGAATTAACGTGGGACATCGTCATGTTTACTAAAACTGAAGCTACCTTGAGCTAATTGAGTTGGCAATGTGTGTGTTTTGTGCAAATGTATGTGTTTAGGGAACATATGCAGACGACTGTATCATAGAGCGAGTCACCCAACACAAGTGCTACATTGTGGGCACGTGTGACAAAGACCTGAAGAGACGCATCCGCAAGATTCCAGGAGTGCCCATCATGTACATGAGCAACCACAGATACTCCATCGAGCGCATGCCAGACGCGTACGGAGCGCCCAGATTATAGAGAAGTGTTTGTTCAGACCTAGATTGTTTAATCATAGATTCTGTGAAAAATTCAAGTCCGATTACGTTCAAATATCTATTAGATCAAATTAGTGAATCGAAAAAGGCCTACTCGACCATTATGAGTTGATTATGATGGTAATGTTTTTCGCCGATATAGTTTTGCTTCCTAATTCAATTCAAATTTGATCAGAGTTGGCGATCTTGTGTAGAACTGTTATTTAAATTTTGTCATATTTGCTGCTTGTTAATTGCGAATTTTCCGATATTTTAACTTTCGAGTTACTTAAAATTAAGTAGTTTCTGCTGACAATGCTATCGTTTAGTAGGAACAAGTATTGATTGTCGGCCAATTATTTAGCTGCTTATCTGTTGTCGGCTTAGTTGTCACATCTTGGAATTGTTTTTTTTTCTACGCGCATTTTTTTAATGTTTTTTTTAAATGTTTTATTTACGCATACATCTGTATTTAACTTACCTTGACTTCATATTTCCTTCTTTGTTGTTTTTGTTTTGCCAAAAAATTCCTCGGCCAAAATTATTTCGGACTATTTTTTCATCGGGTTAATGACCTAATTTTTTAGACGTTTCAAGACCAAGACAATTTCAGCCATCCCCACCGTACTTTTTAAGTTGGATGTATGTTTACCAATCTGTTTGTTGAAGTTTCATTTTTTTCATTTTGGAAAATTTCACTTTTTGCAGAAATTATTGTTTTCTCAGTAACTGTTTTTAAAAAAAGGAGTATCAATCGAAAGACCGCTTATTCTTCTGTGTGCCTTCATACTTCCCTGCAGTCTTTTTTTAATTTGACCCCTCTGTATACAGCATTCGAAAAAGTGTGTGGGAATATGTGACCCATATTTTTGATTTTTTTTTCGATTTCACGAAAACTACCGCTCTCAAATGTGAGTTTTTAGTTGCAATGGTTAGAACTGTTTTGAAAAACTCTTATGGCCGTCGGAAAAGTCAAATTTTTGATATTTTGACCGTTTTTTAATATTCTCGAAAACTACCCTGCCATACCTGAGATTTTGTGTTAAATTCTCATAAAGGGCTTTGGGAAGTTCATTTGCTGATGCGACTACGCCCAATTTTTTTACTTCAAACGTTTTGGCTCTCAGAAAAGTAAAATATTTGATTTTGTGACCGTTGTTATTTAAAGATTTTGACTTTTCTCAAAAAGACTCTCACAAACCTGATATTTTGGGTTCAATGAGATAACGGTTAGTGGGAAGCTCCTCTGCATTATCGCCCTTTGATTTTGACCGTTTTCTTGAACATTTTGAATCTTCTCGAAAACTACCCTGTCATACTTGAGATTTTGGGTTCAATTCTGAGAACTGGTTTCGGGAAGTTCATTAGCTCATGCGACTACGCACAAATTTTTTGACTCCAAAATTTTTGCCCTTCGGAAATTTTTTTTGATTTTGTGACCGGTTTTTGGAAAGATTTCTCAAACTAACCTCTCAATTGTGAGATTTTGGGTTCAATCGAAATTACAGATTGCGTGAATCTTTTATGAATATTGTTTCTGCATAATTTGTTCACACAAAAAGCTATGATTCTCGGAATTGTCAAATTTTGATTTTTTGACCGTTTTTATTTTACGTTTCTTGCTAACTATCCTGCCAATTTTGATATTAAAGGTTTAATCAAATGAAACGGTTGTTGAAAGCCTGCCTTTCGAATTTGCTCTGCCCAGTTTGTTGAATAAAATTATGGCATTCAAGTCAGCCATTTTTTTGGAAACTTTACGCGAAAACTACCGGGTTTACGCGAAAACTACCCGGCCAATTCTCAGGTTGCGTTCAATCGAGAAAACCGATTTTGAAATCTTCTTTGCTTAAGCGGCCATAACTTGCTTTTTGCAGAAAAACTTTGTGGGTTTTGGAAAGTCTTTTGAACGATTTTTGGAACTTTCGACCGCTTTAGAAATTTTTTGAATCTTCATAAAATTTACACAATCAAATCCGAGATAAAAAGTTCCATTGAAAGGAACGGGTTGCGATAATTGTTCTTGCAGAAGCAGCGATTCCTAAATTTTTTGTTAGGGGAATGTTATCTTCTTGGAAAAATTGATTATTTTCAAATTTTTTACTCCTCTGACTTATTTTAGTAGAGAAACAACTAATGTTTTTAGGCACAGTCACATTTTCTTACTTTTCGAGCCGCATCACACTTTTGAAATCACACTTTTTGTGCTGCGTTATAGCGAACTCATTCATTATTTAACAGGTTCCTCTAGCTTCAGCTGGGCCTATGTTTGTTTTTTATCGAGACTTACGAAAAGTTTGGTTCACCTAGTTTTTTTTCAACTTATGTTTTTTTTTGCATTGTATCACAATTGGTGCGAAGCTCTGCTTCGCCTCTGTGTTGACATTTGATAATTCCCTCAAACAAAGTGTGAGCGTTCATTTTTTTAAAAGCCTCTTCGGCATTATCAATCTGAAAAAGCTAATACATAATGTTATGTATGCGTAAAAGCTTAAACATACGCAGGTTAGCTATAGCGCTTTAAAAGGTGTATCTCTAATTAAAACAGCAACAGCGCTCAAAATTATGTATCTATACTAAACACAAGTAGAGATAACGTGTAATTCTAAAATATGTAAACTTGGCTTCAACATGGCAGGCATAAATATAGTATAGATAAAGAAGGTAGCGTTACCTTTACAGCTTCGTAAGAACCGGTGGTTAAGGCACATCTTTTAGTAGTAGGTTTTACTTCGGCGTAGGTTACTTTGGCATCGAATCCCGCTCTGTTCGTGTTTTTAGCATTCCGTCTTTGATTTGAGGGGGGATGGGTTCGTTCTGACCTCTCTCAACCCACCACATTTTAGGGGGTCAATGTTTCAGGGGGATGGTGTCTACTCTACGGCGCAGTCAATTTATCTTGCGGGGGGTCCCGACAATTATATAGTGCAGCGAAGATTATTTATACACCAGGAAACGGCTGTGCTATCCTAAGAGCTAATGTTTTCCAACCGAACTCACATAATTTAGTGCTTAAAAATACCGCATTGCTTTTACATTTATCAGTTTTATCCGTTTCTTAGTGGATATTATTATATAGTAAGATGCTATGAAGCAGTTGCGAAGACATTAGAAAAATTCTGGGAGAATAGAAGGCGAATGTTTTTTTTTGTTACCAAGTTAAGCTGGAATTGAATTTTTTTTCCATTTTAAAGCTCCCGTTTGCAATTTTTTTGCATGGGTTTGCTAACTGCAGATTTGCTTCTGTGTAGAAGATCTGAAAGATTTTAAATTGAAATAAAGCGAATCTGATTTCACTAGATTTATTGATTTGGTTGCCCCTTTAGTGGTCAACCGACTGCATGCTCTTACCATCAAGAGTCTCGGAAAGCTCGAAAAAACCTGCGTTTTCTTCGGACGAACTGGCTTGACTCAAATTATTTATTTCTGCTGATGCGAAATTATTTTGCCAATATTAGTCAGGCAAAAAGGCATTTTTTCTGTTTGTTTCATGCAACGTCCTGCATGTCTTGCTGACCTCTTGGTATTAAACATCTATCTGAGCATTTTATAGCTTCTCACAGCTGGTATCCAAAAGGGTGTTCGTTTGTACTTGTGTATATGATTCATGACCGCTCCATAAAACAGAGTTTGAAGCAAGTGGCTCCTAATTAAGTGAGTGATTGGTAGATCGAATGTCGTCAAGCGAAATTTTCAAGGGCTTATTAGGTGTGAATGAATATTAAGAATTTGTATTTTGACGTTCTCTTCAAGTTCAATTTCTAATTGGAAAAATAATTGAGCTCTCCAATGCAGTAAAGGAAGTGGGTGAAAAATTAAGCCCCAAGTCAAAAGTATTTTATTTTCAGTTTTTATCAGTTGAAGTTGAGTTAAGGTCTAAAAAGTGTAACTCATAATATTAAATGTTTTAAGTTATATACAATACAATACTTCAAAAAATACAGAATTTATCAATAGGAGAGGATCAATTTAAGCAAGCGCAGAAGGTAATGTAATTCAATTTGTTAAAGCGCCTATGAAGCAATATCTATTCTAAAATCTATAAGTTAACCTATGAGCTATTTATTCCTAAGAGAAAGCCAAAATGTTGTATTTTCAAATTCCAAAATGATCCTTTGATCTGGGGTTTGAGTCTCGGCCGGAAATTGTTTTTTTTTCAGTAAGTATTATGCAACTTTAAAAAATCGGTAAAATTTGACTTTCGTTTTGTCTGCTCAAGTTTTGTCGGCTTGGTTGCCACATCAGTTGCAAGTGCCAGTGTTGTTCATATTAGTTTAAGGGGGGAGGGGGGGGGGGGGGGGGTTGGAAACTTATGAAGTTTTTTTCGTAATATGTTTTTTTTGGCCCAGCGGGTGTCAGTTGAAGGATTGTTGGCTTTATTTCCGATTCGTAAGTTTTTTTTCGTAGAAAAAAGTTCTAAAATGGTCGTATAACTACAGATATTCATTCATACTTATTAATGCATGTTCATTCATACTTATTAGTGCATTCATATATTAATGCACTGTTTGATTTCTATTCGAATTTATCTTCTCAAAATTAGGTAATTTGCGCTCTCCAAATACGAACGTTGAAATAGCGCAAAAAACGTTTCAAAAAAGATTTTTAATTTTTAGATTTTCCAGCGGAATCAAAACTTCACCTCTTTTTCAGTTTGGTCAAGTTAGGTTTATTTTATCAAGAAGTGTTTAACATTTATTTGTCTCGAAACCAAAAAGCATTAAGTCAAGATTTTTTTAGTACTTTGAAGTTCGAAAATTGGAGTTTTTTCAATAAAAAATGCAGTTTTCATTTTCCTTGTGCTCATTGATTCTTTTTCAACTGTCTGTTGACTATGTTTTACGGTTTGAATGTCTGGCACGTTTGCATAGATTGAACTTTCATCGAGACTTGCTCAGATTTAAATTATGGTAGAAATTATCATTTGCTTAAAACTTGTATGTTTGTGCTGTATCGCAAGTGTTGTTTTGCCCATCTATTTTACCCTTGTAAAGGTTTTGACAGTCGGGTACTAGACTTTTTTCACGGAAAAAACTTTATTCACAGAATGGTCAATTTAGTAGAGCTAGTAATTTT